TTACTGTTATTTGCCTTTCTCATTTGCCTCATTATCTTAAAAATCGTTGATTCCAAAAGAAAATGACGGAAAAATTTTTGTTGTTGAGGATCTTTGGAAAAATGTCCCTCGACGTTTCTTCCACCATTACTCACCAAAACAATAAAGTAAATAATTTTATTCTAGTGAAATAATTTTGGGTTTAACAAGATGTGAACAATCGAATTCCCTATTTCACTCATTTTCACTTTTGAATTAATAACAATTTCATAGAATGGATTTCCACAATTTCTCAATAAAGCAATTGCTATTCATCACTTCCTTTACATTTCAAAGTTTCTCAATTATCTCGAAAAAGAACGATTCAAGCAAAAAAAAACGATAAGAAAAATTTTCAGTGCTTGAATCAAATTTGTCAACAATATCTCTTCACATATTTTGTCATAACTCAATCCAACAAGATGTAAAAAATCACATTGTCCAATTCTCCTCATCTCAACTCTTGAATTTATTCATTCCCAAAAAATTCTAGATGTGATCAATGGTTGAAAATTTAATCCAATCAGGAATTCCCATAATCACTCAACGATACAATTGTTACTTCTGACTTTTTCGTTCATCATATTTCAAATTGATCGTGACGAAATCTCAATTCAAATTTGAATACATGAAGGAAGAGCATTGCGAATTTATTCAAATAGAAAACTAAAAATTCTCGAAAAATGTCGTATACTTCCACCTTCGTGGGAGTTTGACAGCGGGGAATCGCGGTCCAGCTCTTCCAAACGTGGATCCCTAGGGTCCCATGGTATTGCGTTACTTTCCCACACCGCGATCAGCCCAACTTTCACGAATACACCACCACCAACGCATCAGTCCCACTTGTGTACGTACATAATAAACGCGGAAAACGCATAAAAAACAACAACACAGGGAAGGGTGTGGGGAATCGCCGGGAGGATCGCCCACATGCACCTGCGTTAGCATCGAAGAATTGCGCGAGTGAACACACACGTGTGTGGGACACTGGTTTTTCGTTGATCCTACATGTTCAGTACGGCCATGAGCGAATGATATATCCGTGAGGTGGCAAGGTGATACCTGTGTCCACTCGGCCGAATCGACAGTTGCGTATCACCGCGGGAATTCCAATCATTCGATTTATTTTTACATTTTTCTATTCGATTACATGTTGCATCCTGCACTGGAGATTTTGAGGGTATCTAACTGGGACAGTCTTTGCAGCAAAATCTGTTTCGATGATACCTATTGAATTCCTGTGATATTTCAACTGCACGGAGAAAGAAATACGAGAATTAATTTTAAAAAAAGAATTAAATACATTTTTGTTTTCTCTAAATCCAGACAAAAATCGTTCCGTTGAACAAAATCAACTCACTCTCTCAGCACAAAAAAAAATCAGGAAAAAATTACTGGCTGATCTGGCAAACATTCTTGTACTATAAGTACAATAAAATTTCTTAGAGCCACAGTATTTAATTCCGTGGCACTATCCAGTAATGCTCTCCATAGTAACAGTAATATTTAATGGACACAGAAAAAAAAATTGGTTTCTCGCAACACCGTATCGAAATTTAGAACCATGGTACAGTAGTGTTCCCTTTATTTTCCCGGCTCGGGACGTGTCCTTGAGTGAATTTCATGTGAAATCCGAATAATGGAATTTCTCCTACTCGGTCACTGTAGGGTGCATTGGAGAGGGAAGAAATTGATCCATCAAATTCGCTCTACCATTATTTTTTTAAACAATAGTTTCTCATTTAGTTAGAGTAATGTACATTCGGAGTACCCAGAAACCGATTATTTATCACAAAAGTTTGACGCTGACGACAGTTTTCGTATTAGATATAAAAATTGAATTTACTTTCTTCTGATATTTTGACATTTTTTTTACATTTTAATCTTCTCTCCAACCTCGAAAAATTAATTTTCTCATAAGACTGTGTTATTTTGCCACTTCCGAATGAATTACTATCAATCATACTAGACTGCCGATTGAGTACGAACTCAAACAGATTGTTTTTATTCATATCAACTTCTATTTAGAATTTATTTCACATTTCTATCTTCAAAATTTAAGCTATGTCTATACTACTTTAAGAGAAGACCACTCTGAGTTTTAAAAGTCGCAGGCTCTATTGAAATGAGATCTCTCATATATTGAAGATTGATTATATATGTCTAAAAACTAATAATTAGTGCAAAAAAATTAATTGTTTATTATTCGTTTGCCCCGTAGACGTTTAAAATGTTAAAAATAGTCCAGGGCCGCCAATTTTTCAGCTACAGAGGTTTTTTGTATATGAAAATTTTTGAAAAAATAGATGCAATAACAATTACGAATTCGTTTTCTGAAATTCACCTCCTACACAATCAATTTCGTTTGTTTTTTAATAAAAAATTGCACCATTCATATAAAATAGCACGAAAAATGTTTCTGAAAGAATCGAGAATATGTTTTAAATATTTTAAGGATAGTTTTTCTGTCTATTTTACATGAATGGCGTAAATTTTTATATGAAACAAAACGAAATTAGCTGTGAAGGAGTCAAATTTCAAAAAACTAATTCGTAATTGTTATTGTACAGATTTTTTCAAAAATTTTGAAAAAAAACTTCTGTAGCTCAAAAATTGGAGGCCCTGGACTATTTTTAACATTTTAAGCGTCTGCGGGGCAAACGAACAATAAACACATTTTTTTCACTAATTATTCGTTTCTAGACATATACATATAATCGATCTTCACTGCATGAGAAATCTCACTTCAATAGCCCGCGACTTCAAAACCTCATAGTAGTTTCTCCTTAAGATCGCTGGAAAAAATCGGTTCATTGGATACTGTCATTAGTAGAGACGGGCAATATTACGCCTCAAATCCACCTCAAAAAGATTCTTTCATGCCACAGTTTTTCATCAATTCCACTCCAATTGACCCAGTTTTTTGTAATGATGGCCCTATTTTTGTAATGATTTTATTTCCATAGTTATTTTCATAAGACACAACTAATGAACGTCCAAACGTCATGATTCATCTAACAGAAATTGTCTAGGAACTTAAAGAGAAATCTGTCAACGAATAAATTGACCTCGACATCAAAATTAGATGAAAAATATAACGTGACACTTCCACTGAGATTCTACCTCACCTAGTTCAAAAATCCGGAAGTAAAATTCTCCAAGAATCAATCTCACGTAAAGAACTGTACCACATAGCTATCCACCCTACAATACTTCCCGTCAAAATCCAACTCTCCACGATCTTCATTGTACCCAATGTAAGTACTCAAGGGAAATATTTACCAAGATAAGATTGCCTCGCAAAAAAATAAACCGTCTCTTTGTTGAACATCTAAAGGGTGCTCCGGGGTCATATATAATTCCCTTTTGCCCTCTGGAACACTGCTGTGTTGTCCGATCTAACTCGTTCGGAATTTTCACTGATAAAAATCCCGCACAGCCTCAACTCGGCATCAAAACTCTTTTTGTTCGTCTCTCCTCATCCTCCCCGATTCCCCCGACTCCATCAAACCTTTCTCCACAAATCAAATCCGACTTAATGTAATGTGCAGGCTTGGGCAAGTAAAATACGACCGGTATTTTACCAAGTTTTCTACACGTAAAAAAACAAGTATTTTACTGCGTGATTAAGAATAACACAGTTGTTCTGGTGCGAGGATAACCCCGTTGACAGGGTTGCAAGGGCCATGTCCCACAAAGGGCAAACATCGCAATGGTCATACCTGGCGAGGATCAAACATCGCAAGGGTTATACATCACCAGGGTCAAATGTTGTAACGGTTAAACAACAGAGGTAGGTAGAGGACAATCTTAAATGTCAAATGAGACATGACGTTTGACGATTGACCCTTATGACCTGTCACCCTCGCAAGGTACAACCCTCGTGAAATTCAATCACGAGGATTACTGCACTGATAGTCGGGTTTAGTGATGACGCGAGTGACTTTACGCGACAATACTTTGGAGAGATGGTCTCGGTCTCGATGAACATGGAAATGTTTGGTTTTGTCTCAGTCTCGAAATACGCGGTATCGACTCCTCTCTAGTTTTTCGTGTTTTTTAATGTAAAATCTCGATTTTTCTCTCCGGTTATCTCGTTTCCTCTTTCTACATATAAAAACGCGGAAAACTGGAGACCGAGATGAGGTAAATTGACTCGGAGTCATCACGAGAGGAGTCGATACTATGTATTTCGAGACTGAGATGAGACCAAAAATTTCCGTCTTCACTGAGACCGAGACAATTCCTCCAAAGTATTGTTTCGTGATATTTCGTAAAGTCTCTCGCGGCATCACTAATCGCGTTAAAGGGTTTTCTGCGCCTTATTTACGTTTTTTACCATTTAGACGTAAATTACCAGTATTCTACTATGTACCGTAAAAAACTCCAATTTTCAGTGAACGACCCAACTCTGGTGATGTGTATTAATGGGGGTTGAAACCCGATAAAAAAAGTCCAGTTGATGCTCTATAAATCTCGCCACACCCTCGGCACACCCTTGGCGAGAGGTGCGGTGATGCGTTGCACTTTTAACCCCTCGTTTGCGTGAAGCAAATGTGGTAATTAGAAACCCGCTAATGTCTTCCGCGAATCGATTGCGTAGTAGGAAAATACTGTGTTTACATTTCGCACAACTCATTTGAATTAATACCCAGAATGAAAACATATCTTTGCTATTTTTAACCGCATCTCATCTCGCATTAGTATTCGTTATCGTAATGTATTCGACCTCTGATGTTTGATGAAACACAAAATAGGCATTGGCATTCAATAAAGATATCGTCTGAATCAGACATTTAAAATTCCATCCTCACAAATTTATTGATTCTCATGTTCTCCATAATTCGTTGATAGCGACATCTGTGTGTCGCTGGATGCAGTGATACATTGACAGTTGTTATGTACCAAGTGCCGCACATCCACGAAGATCCCCGATGTTCTCCGATTTTCACCGACACTCAGCATAAAACGAGAGAGAAAAAATGTCTCACTGGCATCAAGCTTGTCGTACGTACAGTGCGTGTTCTCCCATTAAGTACAAACAATGGTGTTAAAAATATAGTTTTTCTACAATCCCCAAATATCAAAAAAATTCCCAGTGACCAAGTGATTTTTAAATACTTTAATACTCCCAATTTTTAAACCAGCAATAACGAGTTCATGACGCCGGGGCGTATCCCAAAAATTCGGGGACTCATTGCTCCAATTTGTTTGACACAATTCCAACAATTTTCTACACTCATACATCAACGAAACCCGTAATCAAACCACTGCCAAGACTGTGATACCAAAACCTCCGAAAAATTAAAATCGACCCCAGCACGACCCATGAGTCTTCTCCAAGAGCACGAACAAGAACAAAGAAACAATTTCTCACTAATCATCAACCTCAGAAAAAAATGCTGAATTCGTCACGGAGATTTCCATGGAACCGATGACTCGTCAGCGCAAGAATTAACACCTTTTAAAAAAAACAGAAAGAGGGGCAAAAACGGAAGAGACCAAGAGCTATAATCAAAAGGTCCTTGAATAAATTTCAAGTGTTGGCAGGTGGTTAACAACTCCACCAGCACTAGCCAATGTGTGACTCGACTGACGCTTATGTACAAAAACTCAGTTACCTCCACCTGGGGGATGAAGTGGAACGAGTTGGTTCGCATGGCACTGGCTCCAAGCCAGAGGGCCAGGTGCCAGTGCCAAGCCCCCAGCACCATCATCCCCAGTATTACCCACAGTACCGTGACATACGATCAAACAGATCATTGGTAGCCATCGATAATTTCATCGATGACTCGGGGGATCCTAGACAACCACCAGGAGATTACAAGCACTACGACCGAGATAACATTTCCGTCTCGAGGTTTCCCCCAAAGTCCATGGATCCAATAGATCAGGATCAGAGTCGAGGTCACGCACCGCTGTACGAAAATATAGAGTACTATCCGCCCTCAGCACCAACGCACCCCCCTTACTACCACGCGATAGATAAAAAGAGCCCGCGGGGTAGCCCTCGAGCCTCGCTCGCTGAATCCTACGAAGCTTCATTCAGAAAAGCTCAGCCACAGGTGCCCACTGGCAACCGCTACCAAACGTCCTCCCCAGCGAAAGAACTCCCCCCCTACGAGGCACCCCCAGTCTACGAGAACATCCAAGAAATCGCTTATCACGACCCAGAGCCGCAGAACAAACCTGGCCCCCAGGTGCCAAACTACTACCACTCGACCAACATCAACGGAGGTGACTACGTCGTGATGACGGGAAAAGCTCAGCAGCAGAGACCCACTCGTGTCCAATCGTTCGACGCAGCACTGGGTACAAACTCCTCGAGATACCTAGTATCATCGAACTCATCCGGGGATCTCCAAGCCGGGAGGAGTGCCTACGTCCCCCCCTCAGAGCTCCAGCACCCGAGTTCCCCGAGATCCTTATCGAATCCTTATCAGAGTGATTCACCCCCAATTCGATTGCCAACAGAGGCTCATTACCGAGGGAATTCCGAGATCCATGGAGGCCACAACTACCGGAGTTTCATCCAACCTGAGGGCTATCGTCAGGAGAATGGACAGAATTACAAGCATTACGTTGAGCCAGGTCAGGGACGGGCCCCCCAGGTGCCCTCTCCATCATCGAGATCGATGCCTGCGGGGTACCAGAGGAGTGTCACTGGGTCCTGGACTCCTCAGAACGAACGGAGGGATTATCCGAGGAATCCGGGGATGTACCCACCTAATCGTCCAGAGATGAGGATTAATATGCAGCAAAATGATAAAAATTCCGAGGGACATGAGTCGCCAACGTCGAACAGGAGTTCTCCACTCTATGCGATTCCTCACGCAGGTCGAGAGCAGAGGAATGCCAGTCAGGAGGTGAAGAGTTCACCCAAGACGAGTCCCACTCATGCGCCAATGAGTCCTCAAGGACACTTGAATTCTTCCGTTGTCTCAAGACAAGTTTCAGCTTCGAATTCAGCTACTTCGGCGGGGTCTCCTGTTCGAGGACGGGTTCAGGCAGCTGTAACCAGTGCAGCGACAATATCAAGCGATGATTTGTCGAGGAATGCCCCCAGGATCACGAGTCTACCTCCGGGTGTCACCAGTGGTGTTGCTGGACCGGTGTTCCTTAATGCTGGGGTTCCTGTTCTTCAGAAGTCGATTGAACTCGAGGAGAAGAGAACTGCGAGTCCCAAGCCTGTTGGGGGGAAGGGTCTGCTACCTTATAATGTCACTCCACCCAGGCCTTCTGGCCCCACCGAGGCAGAGAGGAAGATCGAGGAGCTCACGAGACAACTCGAGGAGGAGATGGAGAAGCAGGAGGAGGAGGGAGAGTACTTCGGGATTTGTCATACGTGCGGGGAGAAAGTCACTGGTGCGGGACAGGCTTGTCAAGCTATGGGAAATCTTTATCACACCAATTGTTTCATCTGCTGCTCGTGCGGACGAGCTCTGCGGGGGAAGGCTTTCTATAATGTACATGGCAAGGTTTACTGCGAGGAGGATTATCTGGTGAGATACTAAATATTTGGAGTGGGTTCTTTAAGGAGTCTCGGCTATGAAATCGGTTTTCCATTGAACAGTTACATTTTTGGCGAAAACCCTACAATCGTGTGCATTCATTCAGAAAAACTTTTACTCCGCACGTCTGNTCGATTGCCAACAGAGGCTCATTACCGAGGGAATTCCGAGATCCATGGAGGCCACAACTACCGGAGTTTCATCCAACCTGAGGGCTATCGTCAGGAGAATGGACAGAATTACAAGCATTACGTTGAGCCAGGTCAGGGACGGGCCCCCCAGGTGCCCTCTCCATCATCGAGATCGATGCCTGCGGGGTACCAGAGGAGTGTCACTGGGTCCTGGACTCCTCAGAACGAACGGAGGGATTATCCGAGGAATCCGGGGATGTACCCACCTAATCGTCCAGAGATGAGGATTAATATGCAGCAAAATGATAAAAATTCCGAGGGACATGAGTCGCCAACGTCGAACAGGAGTTCTCCACTCTATGCGATTCCTCACGCAGGTCGAGAGCAGAGGAATGCCAGTCAGGAGGTGAAGAGTTCACCCAAGACGAGTCCCACTCATGCGCCAATGAGTCCTCAAGGACACTTGAATTCTTCCGTTGTCTCAAGACAAGTTTCAGCTTCGAATTCAGCTACTTCGGCGGGGTCTCCTGTTCGAGGACGGGTTCAGGCAGCTGTAACCAGTGCAGCGACAATATCAAGCGATGATTTGTCGAGGAATGCCCCCAGGATCACGAGTCTACCTCCGGGTGTCACCAGTGGTGTTGCTGGACCGGTGTTCCTTAATGCTGGGGTTCCTGTTCTTCAGAAGTCGATTGAACTCGAGGAGAAGAGAACTGCGAGTCCCAAGCCTGTTGGGGGGAAGGGTCTGCTACCTTATAATGTCACTCCACCCAGGCCTTCTGGCCCCACCGAGGCAGAGAGGAAGATCGAGGAGCTCACGAGACAACTCGAGGAGGAGATGGAGAAGCAGGAGGAGGAGGGAGAGTACTTCGGGATTTGTCATACGTGCGGGGAGAAAGTCACTGGTGCGGGACAGGCTTGTCAAGCTATGGGAAATCTTTATCACACCAATTGTTTCATCTGCTGCTCGTGCGGACGAGCTCTGCGGGGGAAGGCTTTCTATAATGTACATGGCAAGGTTTACTGCGAGGAGGATTATCTGGTGAGATACTAAATATTTGGAGTGGGTTCTTTAAGGAGTCTCGGCTATGAAATCGGTTTTCCATTGAACAGTTACATTTTTGGCGAAAACCCTACAATCGTGTGCATTCATTCAGAAAAACTTTTACTCCGCACGTCTGATTACACTGTTAAAAATTTTCGTTTGAATTTTCCGTGCCAAATTCCGGAAATTTTTATCGTGTTTAAGTTCCACTGAAATTTTAGGAAATCTTATCATTGAAAATTCAGAATTTCGTGGAAAAATTAAACAGAACTGTAAATTTCCATTCCATTTTTCCCTGAAAATGAAAAGAAATCCAGAAAATTCTGGTAAATATATTCTTGAATTTTCAGGACAGTGACACTGCATGCGATTTACTGGGGAAAAAATCATGACATTTCAGATTTCACAGAAAGTTCAATGTAATTTGACATTGAATATTCGTATTAGATTGGAAATTCCAATCAATTAAGTAATTCTCGTCTTTATGCCGCTTACAATTCTGGAATTTTACTGAATTTTCACTGAAACCTGAAATTTCATAATTTTTTTTCCCCTAAATCGCATTCAGTGTCTGCTCTGAACATTCCTAATCAACTGTCCGTGAAATTTCTTTTTTTTTCTAGTAGTGTAATTATACGGTTTGACAAAATTTGGACGTTGTCGACCACAAAAATGAGATTGACCCCATTTTATAGATACTTTGATGCTGATTTTAAATTTCGTTCGGAAAATCTTTTTAGCACGTCTAGTTTTTGTGAAAAAAAAAATGTTTAAGTGTTGAAAAGTGGTTGAAAATGGCAATTTAAAAAAAATATTAAAAAATGAATTTGGACGTAGCTTTTTTCAGAAAAAATACAATGAATTAATGACAATGCCATTTGTTTAGTGGATTTGGGTTCATCCCAATTGGTTAAGTCGTAGTGAGTAAAACAAATCTTGAAAAAATCAAAATTGAATGATTTTTTTGGAAAATTAAATGATCGGAAGTTGGTTACGCACCCTTTAATGCATTTCAATCTCAAATCTACCTACACCCGTGTGTTAACCTTGTGTGTTAATCTCTTTATTTTTCAACTTTATTTCGGCAACTAAATCACTCAACAATTGAGGGTGACTTCTCGTAAGAGCAATTAACCGGTTACCTAGCAGGAATCTTCAAACTTCATGCTGAGTCAAGTCGAGGTTAACATACGGGTGGAGATAGATTTAAAATAGTTGTGCATCAAAGTGTGTGTAACCAACTTCCGATCATTTGATTTCACACGAAAAATCATGAAATTGGGACTTTTTCATGATTTTTTTTACTCGTTTCGACTGAACCACTTGGGATGAAATCAAATCCACTAAACAAATCGCATTTTCATTAATTCATAGTTTTTTCTGAAAAAAACTACGTCCAAATTCATTTTATTACAAATTTTTCAAATTATTCATTTTAGCTATTTGTCAACATTTCAGCGTTCTCTTTCTCGAAAACTAGACGTGCTAGAAAGATTTCTCAAAAACAATTTAAAATCAGCATTAAAATATCTATAAGAGGGGTCGGTTTCGTTTTCGAGGTCGAATACGTCCGAATTTTGTTGAATTATGTTATATTAACTAAATTGAGAGAAAAAAAAACATCACCTGACACCAGGTTTCTTTATTAGGCCATGCACTTATTGTTGATGCAGAAACCAAACTCAATCTGAATGTGAAAACCGTTTCTACTACAGAAATATTGCGAAGCAATAGATGCAAAAAAAATTCTTTTCTCAAAATTAATTAGACTCGGATTAAGGACTGTGAATCACTGGGGAGTTGAAGTTCGTTTTAAGAAATTACATTTTTGAGATCTCCAAATGTATGGAAGAAACGTAAAATGGAACCTTTTTAACCGTTGAGAAGTTGAGGCTGGCAAAGTGAGAGTGAAAAACATTGGGTTTTCATTAGACAATTACATTTATGACGAAAATTATCCAATTTGTTGCATTTATTCAGAAATACTTCAACTCCTGAGTCACTCACAGTCATTAGTGCACGTCTAATTAATTATTAATTAAATTGAAAGAATAAAATCATGTTCCTCGCACAAGGTTCCCTCATCAGGCTATGTATTTATTCTCCATGTAGAAACAAAACCGAATCTGAATATAAAAACCAATTCTACTAGGGAAATATTGCGAAGAAAATGCAAAAAAATCAATTTCTCAAAATTAATTAGACTTGCATTCTAAGAATGATTAGACTTGTTTCATGGAATCCATTTGATTAAGTTATATTTCATTCAACTGAACTTGATCGACGCCAATGAAGTAGAAGTAATCACTTCGCAGCCGACAATACATCAATACGTCGGAAATGAGTGGAGGAATTTGCTATTGCCGTTTACGATTCAGATCGGTAACGATTTCTCGCTGGGATTTCACAGTTTCCTCCAAAAATTATTGCACTGCAGAAACTGTTCCACTTGAATATATTCGAAGTCATTGTTTCTAAACGTGTTACTTTTCCATTCAGTACTCTGGATTCCAACAGACTGCGGAGAAATGCGCGATTTGCGGACACCTCATTATGGAAATGGTATGTTATTCTTATTTAATGTTTTTTTTTATATAGTACCATTGTTCCGAGGTGGTTCAATTAAATAATTGTTTGGTTATGTTCTAGATTCTCCAAGCCATGGGTAAATCGTATCATCCTGGGTGCTTTAGATGCTGCGTTTGCAATGAATGCCTTGATGGTGTTCCATTCACTGTTGATGTAGATAATAAAATTTATTGTGTTAATGATTATCACAGAATGTTTGCGCCCAAGTGTGCTTCTTGTGGTAAAGGCATTACACCGGTTGAGGTAAATTATTTTCGTTTTGTCGTCATTATAGGCAGTACTGAGAAGAGAATGTTTTAAGAGAGAAAAGCTATTTGATTATGTGGGCTTTATCGAATGGTTGAAAATTCCATAAACAATTTCACATTTTGCCATTATCTCTGAAACTGTTCACGGAGAGAAAAACGAAAAAATTCTCAAACAAGTCTTGTTTGGGCCAACAAAATCGTTAGTTGCAAATTATTAAAAAACTAATTGTTTGGTTTGAATTTGAAAGTTTCAAAAATGAATAATTGCTCTGCTTTCAACAACAACGAAATATTTGGCTCAAGAGGCGGATCATTCATATAAGACTGTGCCTTTTCAAAATAAAAATATCATTTATAGAGGGAAATTTACCAAAAAATATTTTGTCCCCAAGTTAGAAGATTGCAGCCATATCATTATTATTATTATTATTTAATTTAAGAATTCATTTTTGTCTGTGATAATTAAATAGTTCTGAAATGACAAACTACTATCCCTTGTTTCATATAAAACAAGCGTTTTTCGGGAACAAAATATATATAGGAGCATCGAATAACGAAGAAGTAGTGCTAGAAATTACATTTCTTGCTTGCACAGAGAATAATTTTTTTTTGAAAAGACTAAATCTATTTTTTGCAATAAAAATATTCAATCTCGGCGCACATTTCGCATGTTTAGCACAAAAAAGTCCTTTTTTGATCATTTTTAACAAACGATTTTTTTGGCATAAGTAAGAATTGTTTGAGAACTCTGCTGTTTTTCTCGCAGTGTCAGGTTTAGAGAAAAATGGAAAAAATTAAGTTTTCCACAAGAGAGGTCTTTTGACCTTTTCCTTGGAATTTTCCTTCAAGTTCACCAATTTCAAAAATGACCCCATTGCGTTATTATAATAGTAAAATAGTAACGATTGGAGAAACAATAAAAATTCCATGCTGATTTTTTAAAAGATGCCAGAAACTACTAGCTGTAGAGAAAAATATTAAAAAACCTTTTTCTAGTAAATTTGATACGTTAAACCCCGCTTCTTTACATTTCTTTCTACCAGTTTTCTCTTTGAAAGTACATCAAAATTCTCTCGTTTTCAATTTTGTTTTACTCCGTATCATCAAGTCTAATACATTTTCCATGAGAATACGATTTTTTAATTCCGGTACGGTCTTCCCTTGACTACTTGTTTTAGATTCTATGGATTGAACAATCTCACAACGACTATTCTTCAAATATTTCCGACGTTAATAGGTGCAGCGAAAAATAGAGAGACCTGTTTTAAAAAATTATTAAATTTTCCACAAAAGATGTCTCTTGACGTTTTCCTTCTAATTCACTAATTTAAACAATTATCTCATCGTATTATGACAGCATTAAAGTAGCAAAAATCTTTAAAAAATTTAAAGCTTTTTTGCATACTATTTTCAAAAAACAATTAGAAACAACCAGATGAAAAGACATTTTGTTCTGTATTTCTTCCTTTGAAAGTGCATAACGCTTATTAGATACTCTTTTATATTCAATTTAAGGCCCGGGAATACGATCTTTCGAATGTTACCTGGATTTTTTTTATCTTTAGGAATCCAAAATTGTCAATTGAGTGGTACATCAAAAAATGGAAAAAATTCTGAACTTTTTTAAAAAGCGTTTTTAATTGATTCAGAATGAGTTGAATAAAGTTGAATTACAAATATCTGATTCGCTGTGGCAAATTATCTATTAGCTGTCATTTTCCATGGTGAATAACAAAACACTAACTCCTCATGGGAAGTGACAGCTAGGTATCTCAATTTTTAAAATAGTGGTATGTAGTCACCTGCCATTTTTATGTGATAAAAGTGTGATTAAAAAATTCTCCAAAATATTACAACTTTTTTCAAAGAGCCTTTTCCGTAATAAATGTCTCTGTGCAGTGTGGGAAAAGATTTACGAAATCAGTCTTCCCCCTGCATGATGTTGGGTGACAGGCTGCCATTTGTCACCGTAATTCAGATACATTTTTCAATTTGTTGTTATTCAACTTATTCTAAATATAAATTAAAAATGCTCTTTGAAAAAATTAAGAATTTTTTCTACTTTTTTTTTATTATTCATTCATAATTTTTCAAAACTTCTGCATGATGCAGCAGGACTCCATTGACAATTTCAGATGACGAAAGATGAAAAAAACATCGAGATAACGTTTGAAAGATAGTTCACCTGGGCCTTAATGTTCTACTTCGAATCATGCTATGTAATACATTTTTATGTCTCAGGGTACGGAAGAAACTGTCAGAGTAGTATCAATGGATCGTGATTTCCACGTAGATTGCTACGTTTGCGAGGACTGTGGTATGCAACTGACTGATGAGCCGGATAAACGCTGTTATCCACTGGACGGTAGACTCATGTGTCGTGCGTGTCACATTCAAAGAATATCCCATACTCAACCACGTGCACCACAACCAGTCTCCGCTAGCTATCAATTCATGGGTTAATTCTTTATTTTATTCCTGCAGACTAATTTATTAAGTAATTCTAGAGATCAATATTTATTATTTTAACATTCTTTTTTATTTGAATCGACAAGAGGAGCCTGTTGCTGTGATAAATGATAATAGCATAATTTATTTTTAATTCATCTTGACACGGATATTTTTTTATAATTTTAACGTTAGGTAATGCGAATTCACAGGATACTATATCTATCATAACTTCGATGTCCATAATATTGGTAATGTAATATCTATTAGATTATTATCGTCATTCAAATCACTATCGTTCCAGCATCAGCTATATACTCCAGTAGTTTTGAAATCGTTGTAGATAAGTACTTATTTATATTCAACGTACAAACGGTGTATACCATTGACTAATACAATAAAACCTTCTAATTCAATGTTTAAAGATTTTATTCACAGCTCCTATTATAGATACAACTCCACTTCATTGCGCAAGAAGATTTTAATTTGATTGTTTACAATTATCTGTCCAGAAACTTATGTTTTTTAATGTCGCAAAAAAAACTAGAGAGTATAACGAACAAAGTCATACACGGTTATGTGTACGAGAAACCGCTTTAAGACTATGACCCATTGAATTGAAGATGGGAGTGTACAGCTCTTATGGACACAATGTGTTAAATTTCTGTTCTTCGCAATTCGTTTTCACAGACAAACGTTCGGAAACTAAGGTTAATATTGCGCCTAAAAATTTCTTGGTCTATTCTATAAACTCTGAAGAGGGAAGAGAAATTCTTGTACAAAATTGAAGCGCTTGTTTAAAATGGTTCAGAATTAAGTGTAATTATTCATTCCAAAAATTATATAACTAGACTTTATATTTTATAGGTTAATATTCTTTGTTAAATCATATTTTTGCCTACTCTGACCTGTATGTTTTATTTTTAATTGTACCTCCACTGCTATAGGGTGTCCCCTGTAAAGCAATAAATAAATAAATAAAACTCTGAAGAGGATTTCCCCAGAACAAAATGTCCAAACAACTTGGATATCCTTAAGGATATCTTTTACAGTTTGGTACAGATTGCACTATAGATTCCACCATTTTCAATCATCAAATTTGTCTTTGGATATACTATCCAGTTTGAACACTGACACTTTGGACATACTATTATATCCAGTATGATCAAGCAAGAATGTTAGCCAAATCTCAAGCATATTTCGAAAGGAAATATCGAGAGCGCCTGGAGATCTATAAAAACCTTAACAACCTCAACAGGGACAGAGGATATCAAGTGAATCCTATTTGGAAAACCGTCCGCTCGATTGTTCAATTGACCAGCTGAGTAATTAAAAATGATTGGCACCCCCACCTCCTATATACACCGCGCACCATCGCAGGGCAGGGCATATAAGGACTATACCCCTAGACATCGGAGCTCATAACTCTGAAGATGCAGACTGCAATGTATGCGAAACGTCGGCGCAACACTGAGAGCATATACGCGGCATCCATCCGGAAGCCAATGATATCAATAATGGAACTGTGGGACACGCAAAAAAGCGCTTCTAAATTGACCGACCGACCACTCGCGTTCTAATACGTAATGCTTTTTTCGAACAATGAAATATGATCAGGGAACGTGAAGTAAACAATTTCCAATCAATTTTAAGCATTGCAACTATTTATTATCAACAATTTAATTATTCAAATTGCCCAAGCGCTCAAACTATGAAAGATATACGAAAATTTTCGGATCACAAATCATTTAGAATTTGTGGAATAATTTTTGTCTGTTATTTGTAGAATAATTTCATGCACCTATTTTAGATTTCGAGATATGAGCGAGGAAAGAGTCGGCTGGCCCAACATAGCGTTCTCAAACCCACCGCGCACCCCAAGCAGAGAGCGCTATGTGGGGTCGCGTAACTAGTTTCTTGCTCACATCTCGAAATCTACGAAAAATACCTAACATTGATAATAGACAAAAACTATTCCTACAAAAATTTTCAAATCATGGATCATCTAGAATTTAATAAGGAATAATTTTTCTCTATTCTTCATAATTTGGGTGCTAGGGCGATTTAAACAATTTAATTGTTGATGATACATAATTCCAATGTCTACAATTAATTGAAAATTGTTTATTTAACGTTTAGTGATCATATTTTATTGTTTAACAAAAGAATTACGCAGTAGGACGCAAGTGGTCGGTATATCTGAAAATTCAGTGTGAAAATCGAGGGTGTTCTATAATCATGGCTGCGACAGCACGTGCCATTTGACCGAGAACTCTTACTCGCGCCGAGAGAGAATCTCTGACGTATTGCGCGAAAACTAGTTAGACAAACATGTTCGAGCTATCCGTGGGACTGGTTTACTTGCCAAGTATCATCGAACGTCTCACGGAACCGCTCGATGTAAGCGAGCCACACAATCGACTTTACTTGCGCCGCGAGAGAATCTCACACGATCTTCGTCCGAGCTTTATAAAATATTTTTTTATGCACTCAAAAAAAGTACGGATTCAAGTCGACGTCGACTTGATTCTAACCGATGTTCGGCTTGATTCAAGCCGAGTGACTCGGACTACACCAATCCGGATTCCGGGTGTGACATAAGTCGAAAAGTGGTTTATTTCGAGTAGAAATGTGTCACGCCGACATCGGTTTGCATGAAGCCGAAAAATCGATGAGAATCAAACTGAAAAACGGAGTGATTCACGCCGAAATTCTGCCTGTTTCAAGTAGTAGATACACGGAGAGAAATTTTTGATAAAAATTACCCTACCCTTCTATAAAAGTGTATCATGAGTCATCGTTTCCGCATTTCTATCCCGAAATTTAGTGAAAATTAATATATGATGATTAAATTTTATTCTACGTTAGAGAAATTTTATCCTGACGCATACACTGAGAGAAAATATTATTCCTGCCAAGGATTGATATTTTCGTCAGAAGATAATATTTTTTCGAATTTTTCCAGGACAGTCATTTTCAGAGTCCAAGTCTATCCTCAAAAATTACAGTGATGTTGAACAATCTGATTATTATGCTACATATGACCTTGACAAAATGTTCTCCGATATCTTCCGGATTTTACAAATTGGCGATTTTCTCAGGTAAAGAAAATTGGAATAATTCCAAATGTTAATAATTATTATTGGAGTTTCTTCGAGGTCATATGCAGAAGAATATTCTTATAGATCACCATAATTCTCACGCTTGGAACTGATTTCGGAGCACCTGGAAATGACTGGCCTGGAGAAATACGTTCCAAAAGAGATATTTTCTTCTACTAAGAGTATGAAAAAGATATCACCAATAACATTTTCTTGGAAGGAATAAATTTTTTTCTCAGTGTAATAAATTTTACCCCTCCAGTCCAGTAATTTTTATGTAGATGACAACGAAAATTCAACGGTTGGTAAATTTTATCCTACTGGTACAGTAATTTTTACTCTACCGGCAGGGTAATTTTTATTTTTATCAGGCTCTAACATAGAATAAAATTTGATCATCATATATCAGTTTTTACTCAATTTCGGGATAGAAATGAAGAAACGACGACTCATGATACACTTTTACAGAACGGTAGGATAATTTTTATCAAAAATTTCTCTCCGTGAGCGACTTGATTCAAGTAGATTTTTCGGTCTGATCCGTGTCGATTTTCAANGGGGGGGGGGGTGTTGTACTGAATTTTCGGTGCACAGCCCCCCCGTACTCGACTTAGCTCGTCGATGAGTTATGAAATTTTGGGAGAGGGGGTGTAGGAATCGAGGTTGTTGAGGGATGTAACGGTTCACTAACAAATGCAATAGTTATAAAACAATCACAGTATATTTACGAGACGTAGACAGCGATGATGTCACTGATGTCCAGTCGTCTTAACTGCACGCGTGTTGTGTCCGTGTATTGACACGTGAGTGCGGATGTAGCGAGGCGCTACATGACTCCCCTTCTTATTTTTTTGTTTAGTGTTTCAGTTTAGAGAAACTACGTTTTTCACTAAGAAGGGGAGTCATGTAGCGCCTCGCTACATCCACACTCACGTGTCAATACACGGACACAACAACGCGTGCAGTTGAGACGACTGGACATCAGTGACATCATCGCTCTCTGTCGCTCAACCGTCTAATGTATACTTCTCACTCCTACTGTAACGCGTTTCCGAATTCTCGCCTTTTGCGAATATTATATTCAGTCCGGCACCGACCGCCGAATACTCAGGAGTGAACACCTACTCCTTACATTATCTATTTTCACTTTTTGCATGTAGTCTACGTCTTGNGGGGGGGGGTTCTCAATTTTTTTGGTTGTGAATTCTCAATGCACCCCCCCCCCCCCCTCCTGCCAAATTTTTCAGTAAAAATTCGCTTCAGTAAAAATTTTATCTTCCTTAGTTTCGGAGATATCCTTGAAAAACTCGCCAACGAACTAAGTGGTCTACAAGAGGGCGGGGGGGGGGGGGTGTAGCGCCTCGCTACTCCACATTTACGCATTAGTACACGGACACGACTCGTACGTAATTGAGACGACTGGACATCAGTGACATTATCGCTCTCTGTCACGCGCCAATAAAATGTATACTTCTCACTCGCACCTATTGTAATGCGTATCCGAATTCTGGCCTTTTGCGAATATTATATTCAGTCCGGCACTGACCGCCGAATACTCGGGAGTCACCATCTTCTCTCATCACTTATAAATATCCCCAAGACGCGTTTAGTAATAAACAATAATTTTACATTAATTGTTAGTAGTGGATTGATTCAAGCCTTTCCCATCACACCACAATCTCATAATCTCTGCATCTCGCTACACTGGCTAACGACGAGCACAGGCATTTGCCGTCTCACTCGTACCTTCAGTGCCACGCAATAAAACGCAACATGGAGTATATGTCTGTTTTAAGTTTGTAATTTGAAAAATAAACATTAAATTATAGAGAAAAAGCAATTTGAAATCGAACTTTTCTGAATCACAATGGCTATCTTAATGTACGTCGTCCATTTCGTTTCTTCGCCTTTGGAAAAACTTCTCCCGTAGTCGCAGAAGAATATCTCTTAATCAATAATTCCTTTTCTCCCACAGGAATGAAGCCGTAATTTTTTTGTATCGCTGGAATCGCCTTTGAACTGTCGAATTTTGTTTTCAACCGTTCTTTGATATCCTCGTGTTCCTGTTTAGTGTAGAAAAACACATCGAGATCCTTGAAATTATTCTTTGCCCACTGGAACAGACCATCTGGAGTGAGAATAGGTTCACCATTAGTAATTTGCAGACTTCTTCGTCTTGCCGTCTTTCCATGCGCGGTCGCATGATAGTGCGCCTCTGCTTCAACTCCAAAATCATTTTTATGCAACAAAAGATTAGCCATGTTATATCGATTCTTATAGTGCTGTCCAGCACCATCTGTAACATAGATCAATTT